TTATATGGAGAAAAATCCATAATTAGCAGCCCCTAAGCAATCATCTATTAAAAATAAAACCTCAGAAATCATTGTTTCCCCCAATAAAACAAATACCTCCATAAAACAAGAGTCGAAAGTAGATATAGTAAGGCTTAGGGGAGATATTGTAAAATAACAAGATATAGCAAAACAATAAAAGGAAATGAAACATCAGCAGATACAGCTCAAGAGAAAAATAAAACCATAAAAAGAAAAAAAAAGGCCGTATTGGATAAAGCACAAAGGAGAACAGACATTGCTAAAAATATACTAAGAGACATAGTGAGCGAAGCAAGCAAATGAAATAAAAATTAATAAAAAAATTTAAAAGGAATTCCAACATAAGCATAATCGAGATTCTCAAAGAAAAAGAAAGTGACTCCAAAATGTTAATATTCGATGCATTATATATTTTTATTCAAGGACAATGGCCCAGATAAACATTTTGAACATGAAAGACACCAGGGAAGAGAGTTCTCATGATTCCTACTGGAGGGTCAACTCCAGCTAAGCAGAAACTATGGCACAAGACCTCCAGGTGAGAACTCCGAGTCCATTTAACTGCACAAGTAAGACTAAAACAAAAGAGACTATGATTGTAGAACAGACTGTGAATGCTATCAGCTCCGGTAATACACGTATATTTAAAAACCACATTGTTTTTATTCATGATAAAATCACTAAAGTAAACACCACTAATAGTTAGGCAACAATTCACAAACCTTCTAAAAATCTCATTTAGTTCTTGGAACACCCTCAGATTTAATGAATGACACACCAGTGCTTCTATCAAGTTATAAAGTCAAATGATTCTTTGATGCCTCAGGCCCCGTCTGTCTTTTTGAATTGCTTGTTTTGGTTGTTTGGTTGTTTAGTTGGTTTTATTGTTGTGGTTGGTTGGTTTGGCTTGTAAAATGAAAGGGTGATATGGGCAGGTACTTCTGAAAGAGACTGCCCTTGGTCTTTAGAAGTTTCTTTGGGAAGAATCTGGCAGACATTGAATTGAAGATTATGAAAGTGTCTTCAGTCATTAAAACCACTGATGACTCTGATTTAATTAGAACTCTCCCTCTCTAGTTGCCTTCTTTTAGTGATTTTCAAATACCAGCTTTCTTCTGGGCAACTGTGGACCTACCCGGGTAATGAACTCCATTTACACTGGTCAATTAAGTCAAAGTCTTCTCAAAAAGTGAGTATCTAACTTTAGAAACATTATATACGTTTGCATCTCTAACAGCCTGATTTACTTTTCTTTATTCTTGAAAATTGTTTGCACCACCAAAACAGAAAGATGCATGGATGTTAGACATCTCTATTTCTTTGGCCTATTTCAATTTGCACTAAGAGAAAAAATTTTTCTCTCCTTTTATGGTCTCACAACTTCATTTAACACTTACTATGCATCATTTATGGTTTGGGGACTGTGGTGCTATAATAATAATAACAGAATTACAATTTAAGCAGGGCATGTTCAATGAACTAAAGTGCCTGTTTGGTTTTACACTGCAGTTGACTCCAAAATGTTTTGATCACACAATCCTTGGAAGGATAAGATCCTAAGAATATACTTATTTATAGCTTATATGTACATGTGCTACTATATTAATATACTATGTACATTATAAAACGTAATACAGAAATTCTAAAGAATTAAAAACACGAATATTTTATTTGTTAATGGCAAATGACCTTTTGCTGTCACTAGAAATCATTAATCATATTTATCAAGAACATGATTTAATATACTTTATTATTTCTGAACATCTCAGTTTAGTCCTTTGTGATTGAGTAACTTGTTTTTTAATACTTGGTTTTAATGGCCATCAGAGATATGTAGTGAAGATATGTAGATATGAATGGAAAAAGAGAATCGTGGCACTGAGTCCCTCGGTTTTTAATTCCGTGGCACTGAGTCCCTCAGTTTTTAATTCCATCCTTCCATAAGGAAAAGGTTTAGGAGTGTGTTTTGTTGTTGTTGTTGTTGTTGTTGTTATTGCTAACTGGCCTTCAGCTAGCAAATATCCATCCCTCCTGACAGCTGCTCTTGAAAACATTAATGCTATGAAGTTTTTATATTTTTAAAAACTATATTCTAAAACCACTAAAACTTTGCAAGTTTTTTTTTTTTTTTTTTTTTTTTGGCACTAGATTGGGACATCCCATATTCAACTTACTGAATATGCAGGTGTGAAGGGTTTTAATAGGTGACACAAACCGTTTTTTTTCTTTTTAATCACATTTCCAAACACCTATTTTCAAAAATGCTCTCCCAGTGGCACAGGTTTCTTTTGGGAAGCAGTTACTTTCTCACTCATTGCTTCTATATTTGAGTGCGTTTTTCAGAAACTTCTATGAGGTAGCTCCTACTGAAACCACTTAACACATAAGGGTCAGCAAATCTGGACACTTGTCTTTTTGTAAAAGAAAAATAAAGTAGCAATTCTTTGTTCTTTTGTTAAAAACAACCCTTGGGAGTTAGAAATACATTTGACATTCATTACTCATCTCATCACAAAGTGTGTACAAAGATGCTACTATATTTTAAAAAACTTGCTGTTCCAGAATCGACTAAGTAATACTGCCCTATGGCAGTTCGTCAGCATGTGGCTTTAACTCCTTTATTCTTCAATAGTTTGCTCAGTAACTTGTGAATGATGCAGCAAGAGAATTTCATATACATCTGTTAATAAGTTAAGTGCAAATCCTTATCTCGAACAATCTGCTTGATAGTTTCTAATGGGCAGGGCTGACTTCTGGCCAGATTTCACAAAATTACTTTTGTCTCAAATGGGAACACCTACCAGATGTCCCCAAATATTCATTCTCTCCTTCCTCCTCAGTATCAGAAACTCAGAAGGCACATAATTGCCCAGAGCAAAGACTATACTTTTAAGCCTCTCCCCCACACAGTGATACATGGCCTTGGAACTAAGTTTTGGTCACTGGGATGTAAGGTCAAATAAATGGATAGCCTTAAAAGGAGGAGCATATCTTCTGTTCCCTTTCCTCCTACCTTGCTGCAATTGAAGTTTGATAGCTGAAGTTTAAACAATCCTTGAAGCGAAAGGGAGAAGCCAGGTGTCGAGGCAGCCAGAACAACAAGGAAGGAAGAATCTGGGTCCTACATGACTACGTGGCCATCAGATCAGCCCCGGACTGCCCACGTTTATGTGAGAGGGAAGTACACTGCTATCTCTTTTGAGCTTTATCACATCCCATATTCAACTTACTGAATATGCAGGTGTGAAGGGTTTTAATAGGTGACACAAACCGTTTTTTTTCTTTTTAATCACATTTCCAAACACCTATTTTCAAAAATGCTCTCCCAGTGGCACAGGTTTCTTTTGGGAAGCAGTTACTTTCTCACTCATTGCTTCTATATTTGAGTGCGTTTTTCAGAAACTTCTATGAGGTAGCTCCTACTGAAACCACTTAACACATAAGGGTCAGCAAATCTGGACACTTGTCTTTTTGTAAAAGAAAAATAAAGTAGCAATTCTTTGTTCTTTTGTTAAAAACAACCCTTGGGAGTTAGAAATACATTTGACATTCATTACTCATCTCATCACAAAGTGTGTACAAAGATGCTACTATATTTTAAAAAACTTGCTGTTCCAGAATCGACTAAGTAATACTGCCCTATGGCAGTTCGTCAGCATGTGGCTTTAACTCCTTTATTCTTCAATAGTTTGCTCAGTAACTTGTGAATGATGCAGCAAGAGAATTTCATATACATCTGTTAATAAGTTAAGTGCAAATCCTTATCTCGAACAATCTGCTTGATAGTTTCTAATGGGCAGGGCTGACTTCTGGCCAGATTTCACAAAATTACTTTTGTCTCAAATGGGAACACCTACCAGATGTCCCCAAATATTCATTCTCTCCTTCCTCCTCAGTATCAGAAACTCAGAAGGCACATAATTGCCCAGAGCAAAGACTATACTTTTAAGCCTCTCCCCCACACAGTGATACATGGCCTTGGAACTAAGTTTTGGTCACTGGGATGTAAGGTCAAATAAATGGATAGCCTTAAAAGGAGGAGCATATCTTCTGTTCCCTTTCCTCCTACCTTGCTGCAATTGAAGTTTGATAGCTGAAGTTTAAACAATCCTTGAAGCGAAAGGGAGAAGCCAGGTGTCGAGGCAGCCAGAACAACAAGGAAGGAAGAATCTGGGTCCTACATGACTACGTGGCCATCAGATCAGCCCCGGACTGCCCACGTTTATGTGAGAGGGAAGTACACTGCTATCTCTTTTGAGCTTTATCATTTTGGCTTTTCTGGCTCTCACTGCTATACTGAACCCTAATCAATACACCAGGTAACAGGGCTGATCAAGAGCCCACATTGCCGATCAGAGAAGCGGCAGCTCTGCCATCTTCTCGTGTCGACATGTGCTTGCTCTATTCATATCACCTTCAACCTGCAGTTTGCTAAGAGAAACTGCTTTCGAGCCACTTGCCCTGTTTGTCAAGATTAGTTCATAAAGGTGACATAATATATCCTTTAAATCGACCTTATCAGATATGCATGCACTGCAACATGTAGCAAAAACTGAAAGCAAATGAACGAGAAGGCCACCATTAAGTAATGCCAACTCTTCTGTCTGGACAACTCAAGAACCTTGTGTAACCTGTGCCTGATGAAATACGGGACACGAGCACAAGAACATCCAAGTTAAATACTAAAGCTTCATTTTTTCTGGTCGACACATAAATATATGAAGAAGTTCTATTTCGTTCCTGTTTCTCTCCCACCCCTGCCAACAAGTGTTTTTATACACCTCCCTGGTGTGCAAGCGCCCCACTGTCAAGGGTATGGTGCATCGATAGCCAACTATAAAATTCTCTCCTGATCATGACAATATGCAATGAGATGAAAACGTTCTGAGTGAAAAATCAGCATAAAGATAAAACTGAAAACTGGTAAAAGCAAATGGTAAATCGAGGGCTATATAGATGGAAAGATTTTGGTGTCTTACCTGAAAACCTCAAGAATAATCCTTTCTGGTAACTTGGGAGCCACCTGTTTAAACGCTTTTTGGAAATCTTCCAAAGTTAAATATCCACGATCTATTTGAAAACAAAATATAAAACATTCACTTACTTCTATTAACCCTATGAACTGTTATTTTAGCCATAAAACTTGCATAATACTTTTATTATTAGGAGAAGAGCAGAAATGTATAGTTGATTTTACACATAAGGTAATCTGAATTTAAGAATCAAGTACTACTCTGCTTCAGTGCAGTCCCAGGTGATCTCGAAGGCCACTGCTACTTCTGGCCCCATCATTTGCAGATTCTCTGAGTCCCAGCAAAAGGACTACAGAGAAATACACTGCAATAATGGCATTAGGCTTCAATTCTTTGTAAATTGCCAAAACAACTTATTTTTCCAAGTTCACTTTTTTCTTGCTTGGTACTAGAAGTATAGTATAATATTTATATTATATATAAGATAACAATAATTTAGAGGGAAACTATAACAGCAGCCAAGATACTGAATCTGGACTCCCTAAGTATTTTCATCCTATGTGATCTGTGGGGCCTAGAGGGTCTGAAGCCACTCCTCTCAGCCACTCCCAACGTTGGATAAGAATTCCTCCAATCATGTGTGGTCAAAGCAGGAGTCGAAGGAGAAGCCACATGTCTCCACCACTTCCGTAGGTGGCTCATGACCTATAACCCGCAGCCAAGATACTGAATCTGGACTCCCTAAGTATTTTCATCCTATGTGATCTGTGGGGCCTAGAGGGTCTGAAGCCACTCCTCTCAGCCACTCCCAACGTTGGATAAGAATTCCTCCAATCATGTGTGGTCAAAGCAGGAGTCGAAGGAGAAGCCACATGTCTCCACCACTTCCGTAGGTGGCTCATGACCTATAACCCACATGGCCAGTCCTTTTGCTGTCCACTTTATAATCATAGGTACAACTGTATAACTGTAAATATTATTTCATCCATGGTAAATGTCAAGAATTGAAGATCATGATGGAGAAAAAAATTCACACTAACATCTAAGGTAACAGCTAATGAACACAGTAAAATAAACGTACAATGATATTTATTTGATTCACTGAATATATGTCCCCATTCGGCTCCTTAACAGCAATTTTTAATATCAAAACACTTTAGAAAAGACTTACAGTGCCTGTCAAAAGCTGTGAAGATGTGTCTTATTTCATTCCGATATAGCTGAAGTTCCTTCTTTTTCCTTACAAAATTTAAAAACTCCTCAAGTGATATACCTAAAAGTTGGGAGGAAAAAAACTGTCTTCCTCTTTAAGAAAAAACAAAACATAGTGATTTTTTTTCACAAAAATTTATCTTAATTTTGGCAAACAGTATTTATTCCTAAAGATCTACAAAGTCAAAAAGATAGTTTGCTAAACGCTAAGTAGGCCCAACGCTAGCAGTCAACGGCCAAAAGCGAGACATGGTCATAGTTCCCTGGGCTTCTCCAGGGGATAAAGGAATGGTGACCTTGAAAAAGTGTAACGCTCTTTCTCTAAGAGATCTAACAGACGGGCCCCAAACTACATATTAAACGAGGTCTCATAATTTTTCTTTCCTTCTGCCTCTTTGATCCCTTTTTTCTTAGCCAGATGTCATTACCGCAGGGTTTTTTTCCAACTGGGAGATCAGGGCGAAGAAGTAGTTTCTCAAAAGTCAATACCAATTGCGCACCACAGATAAAGGTGGAGAGAATGTTCCATAAACAATAGGGCTGGCACCGTCCCCAGCCTTGGGTGCACTCCACGACTGTTCTGCTGCCTCCAGCTCTGCTTCCTGTGATCCTCATAATAAAAGAGCCCAGCATGATCACATGAGATTGGATACTGTGCTTACAAAGTCTATTAAAATGAATTCTAATGTGATCTTTGTAGTAGGTTTAAAGAGCGGAGCCAAGAATTTAAACATTTCAATGACCTGAGCCCTAAATATATAAAAAGAGCAGTTCATTTTTATACTCAGGATATCCATTAAAAAATATATCACTGTCTTAAAAATAGCCCCAAATCGTACAATAACCACATGCTAATTTCCAAAAACTCACACTCTTTTCTTTTGGTGAGGTGATGCTGAGCTGCGTACCTTTCCTAAAATAGTTCTAAAGGTTGAAAAACCAGAGAAAATAGTGCTCTTAATTTTCCACATTTTTCTTATAAAGATTTAGACACTAAAAAAGTCAGTCTATCTTTATGTGTTTAAATGATTCGCTTACAACTCTTTGGAACCCACTGTGTGCCAGGCACTGTGTCAAGCTCTGGAAAGAGAGGGGAAGAGAGCACGCATGTGATTCCAGTCCCAAGGGACCTACTGGCATACTGGGGGAAACAGTGATTATACAGTGCAATCACAAACGTACACGTAATTATAAATTGCGGCATGTGCGATAAGGAGAAAAACAGGAGGTGGTACGAGTCACAGGAATCCTGCAGAGTGGACTCGTGAGGGAGCGATCTCTTCGAGAACGTAATATTGAAGCTAAGAACTCAATGATAAGAAGATACTAACTAACTGGCTAAAGGATGGGGAGAAGAGCATTCCAGGCAATGGGAACAGCGGGTGCCAAGGCCATGGGGTGGGAAGTGGGAGAAATGAAAAAAAGGCCATTGTGGCTGGAACGTAGTGAGCAAGAGAGCGATCCATGACAGGGCTGGTGAGCGGGGCAGGGGCCAGAATGCACAGTCCCTTATGGACAGCAGGAAATGATTTGGTTTTTATTTAAGTTGCAACGGATAGCCAATAAAAGATTTGAATTGGAAGTGACATGATCTGATTGAAATTTCTTAAAGATCTTTCTGGCTGTTGCCTCATAAAAGAAGTGGGAGAAAGTGAAATGTAAAAAGGGAGACCCGTTAGGAGCCTGTTGGCAGGGGACGTGGTTGCTAGGGTGCTGGCGGTGGGAATGGAGAAGTGGAAGGTTCCAGACGTTTTAGAACAGATGAAGAGTGAGAAAGGAGATGTCAAGAATAACCCCTAGGTTCTGGCTTGAGTACATGTAGCATTTTCTCCCATAGCAGTTAGGGTATGTTTTGATGCAGCTCCATTCTCATCTAATCACCTTTGTGACTGGAGAACATATTTAAAACTGCTAGCTGAGTTTAAAACTGAAGTCATCGTGCCATGTTCCCACAGGATCCAATCTGTAACTTGAGTTTCATGAACACCAAAAGCCAATCGATTAAATAGCATCTAGATTAACTGAAATCCTTGAACGAGGTATCGACTGATCATGACACATATGATGAAGCCCTTCACAGTCAAGCCCCAGCTACCTTTCCAGCCTCCTAGCAAATTTCCCGATGCTTCCCCAAGTCGACTGGCTCTTTCACACCTGCACAGCTTTGCAGGTGTTGGTCACATTGCCTGGAGTGTGCACTGTCCCTTTCCTCCTAGTAACTGTTTACATCTCCTTCCAGGTGCAACTAGGGTCTCACCTCCTCTTTGAAGGCTACCCTGATTCCTTTCACCTGAGCCCCTTTTCTGTGACCCAACAGCCCTGTGTTTGTAACATAATCCTAGAATCCACTGGTCCTTTGGTAATTATATGGCCAGACATCAGCCTCAGAAACACTGAGATAAAGCATTGTGTATTGTTCACAATTCTATCCCAAGTGCTTGGCCTGATAGCTTGCATGTAAGTAGGCATTCATTAATGTTTGTTGAATAAGTAAACAAAATAATAGAAATATATTTATATTTCTAATAGAAACAAAATAATAGAAAGATATTATCTCTAGTTTTCAGCAAAAAAGCATTAAAATGTGTATTTTAAATGATCTTATAACTCTGTAAACTGATAGCAAAAAAGTAGGTCACTTTTTATTCACATAACCGGCAAAGTAAATCATCATTTCAGAAACCTGATTTCTAAATACATACGATATAGTAAAAAACAAACAAAAATCAGAGGTAAAGAAAAAGCATGCGTAATATTTGTTCTTTACTTATCACTGCATCTGATTTAGGGAAATGATAAGAAAAAAGCACAATTCCATGGTTAAATGTGTGAGTCACAAGAAAAAAAAAAGTACATGAATGGTGATAAGCAAATTACTAATTCAGAAAACTCATCCGTATTTGGAGCTATAAAGTCGTCAGTTCTTTACTTCGTAACTTTGTGGGATAAAAAGCAAATGTTCTTTAGATTTTCCTAGGAGAAAGTGTATATGGATTTCAACTGTATGTTTATCACCACTTAAAAAGAGAAATGATATAGTAACATAAATAATTCTGCATAAGAAATTGAGTTGACAGTATTTTCCCACAGGATCATACACCTTATTTCTTAATAATCTAAAAGTCATCAAGTAATATTAAACCACATAAACGCATCTCTGCTGCCTCCCCGCCACCACATGCCCTTAACTTGATCTAATCTTCCATGGCAACACATATCCGAATGCAAGCCCCTTCTCTAAAAAGGACAAAGTTTTCATTCAGCTTGGCTCTCACACTGTAGCAGGATGACCACTTTCCAAAGCCAGTGCATAATGGTTTGCTAATCTTGAAGCTCTGAAATGCAAACGCATTGAATGTAGTTTTGTACTTCTTGCTGCTCTTCACATGGCCTAGAAATAGAGGTCCTCCTACTAGCTCCACCTGCTGTAACAACAGTCAAATCCAAAATTACCACTTCACAAAGACTTTCGATAATTCTATTGCCATTGGATTTCATACCCAATGAGATGTGCATTGCCTGTGGCCACCCCTGGAGTGAAAGAATATGTTCAGACCATTCTAACTTCAAATACAACACTGGGTCTCCTAAGTACACTCCTCCCCTAATCACCGTTACCTATACACACCTTGCTGTAGTTACACATGAGGATGACAACATCAGGAACCACCCAGACCTGCGTGTTTATCTGAGTTTATGATTAATCTGTCAGCAGAAGGTGTTCAGAAGGTGCTTTGGCAGTTGGATTCTATCAGTAGTTTGCAGACCTTTTTTTTTTTTTTTTTAAATAGCTGTAGGGAAGCCTAATGGATAGAGGGGGTGAGGCAGAGCTATCCCGTTTGGAGTGAGGTGGCTACCCACCACCCCCTGCCAGCAGAGCCCTTGCTGCCCCCATAGGCCCCAGGATTGAGGATCATGCCTTAAAGGCCATGGGGGCCAACAATCTTTACAAATCCGTCTAGAGTCTGCAAGTCCATGCACTTCTCACATCACTGAAAACGTTTCCTTCCATCTTATAATCCACTCTGGTAAAATAGACCCTTTTCGTGTTCTGTAATGAATATATATATTTTACTTTCCAAACTACTTAATGAATGTATTATAGATAGACTAGGAATGTTATCTTTTCTATTTTTCTGTTGTTATTTTTAAGCCGTTTCCTACGAGGATAATCGTCTTTCACTACAGGGGTGGATATATTCAAAAAGTCCAATAAAACTAGATAAATATTTTCCTTGAACGTTTCATTATGTATATATTTTTTGTGGTTCACAGTTCTAAGCTTCAGGGTCAGTGCATACAGAGAAATCCTCTTGAAAATGAAGTACCAGTCTAGTTTGCAGCTATCACAGTGAGCTTAAATTAGAAACTGCAATAAACCTGGGGAGAGTGAAGGAGAAAACAATAAAAATGCCAAGTTATTTAGACTATGAGTCTGGTCCTAGGTTTAACAGAAAAGAGAGGGTTCACGTTCATCGTGCCACATACTAATATTTCCCAAGATTGAAGATGCCTAAAAATGAGAGTTTAAAAGGATTAAGTGACCTTTTAAAAGATATAATGCAAGCCTTCTCTAGTTTGAGAAATAAAATTTAGATTGTGACTTCTGGAAGCCACAAGAGAAAAAAAAGATAAAATGTGTTCACATAAAAATATTTTAAGGACAGAAGGTGAAAGCGGCATCAATGATGGTGAGTTGTCACAGTACGATGGATAAGTCAATTCAGAGGACTAATATTTTCCAGCTTCTTGCATAAAAGGGAATAAGAGGAAAAGAATCTTCCATAATGGAAGAGATCAAGTTTTACTATATCATTGGGAAGGAAATGAAAAAGAAGAGTAAAGCAGGTTAGAGCAGAATAATCTGAACCAGAAAAAACCCTATTTCTATCAAACGCGGGCAGGAATCGTTACCTTTTTTATCATGTACATCTCCTGCTCATAAACCTGCAAAGGTTCTTTGATGTTAACAGTGCAAAGTTCTGATACCTTATTCTGGAATTTAAAGCTTCATTAATCCTTCTAGGCAAACCGGTCCTTAACCCTTCCTTCCCAGCCCTT